CAGGAAAGGCGTGAATTCAAAGAATCAATTTTCAATGTGCTTTTTAAAAAACAACATTCAGCTGGGTTTCAGGTGAGTTTCCCCCGTCAAAATCAAATCGGCGTGCAAATGAGAAGTTTGGGTATACTACCAGTCACTAACGCCAGAATCGTTGAAACAGTGTTTTCGATCACTACTTCAGTAGTCTGTTTAGAAGGCCGTCTTAATGGTACATGAAATATCGGTCAATACAGATAATTTCGGGTCGCGGAATGTTGTGCTGGCGTCCGAACTCGCAAGTTCAACACAATCCGTCATGCTGTTTGGTCTCAACTGGTTTCCTCTGGTTTACTTGAGAATTTCCCCAGGAAATTTATCAGGTGTGAAGCAAAAAACCGAGACTAGCGAACGGTTGTGTCCCCGTTTCTGGCCGTCTACATAACTTTTCGTGTTTTTCCCTCCATCTAGGTAACTTCCACCCTACCGACATCCAGGTGGGCGGTACGGTCGGATGCAAAGATTGTTTAACGCGTTTCCTCAACAGCTGTGTCAAACCAGGTCAAAAACTGCCGATCCAATGCCACTTTGATTCCTGCGCACGTTATGTGCACTGAAAACTTGAAATGCAATGTTAAAACATTTGTTTTGATAGAGGAAACTACTCACAAGGTTGCTGAAAACTCTTGGATAGCCCACGACCGGTTTTGCTCTTCTTGGGGCTCAGTAGTTAGGCGCAGTCCCCGAGTTTCCGTCAACATTATGTTCTGCTTGAACACAAATTGGATTGTTTTCGAGAAACACACTCATTTGCAAATCGATCGGGTTCTCACAGGTGACTCAACTGAATCTGTTGTTTATGATATCCTACAACTGAATGTGCTGTACACAGGCCATACTGGATAAGCAAGGCCTGGGAGTATTGGCGGCCACCTTGGGTCGTTCGTGACGCCAGGAGTGAACTTCACTGAAGCCGGAGCCACAGTAACAGTAAGGCGGCCTTGCTTTGTGGTTTTTGGACTCGCCTCCCCCTTCGGCCCGAGCATCCCAGAAGTTTTCGATCTTTTGATGACCAGTGCCGGGTGCAAATCAGAATCTTTAGAACAGCAGAATGTCCAATCATCGTCTACACAAAGGAGCGTTGTTTTCCGTTTCAAGCCATTGTTCACGAGGAACAGGTGATGACATGACAACGGGGAATGAACGTGGTTGCAGACAAGCCGAATGCTGCGGGGTCTTCGAGCCTTTCTGGTTCGGGCTCACGTAATTCCGCCTGCACGTGGCTGGGAACCCTGTGTGACATGGCACGCATGGTGTCATTTCTTAGCCGGGCTACCTAGCTCAAGTTCATCTGTGGTGCGTTGGGCTTGTATCGGGTGAGGTTCGATGCGTCCGACGGCGCCTTCATTGGACGTGGTGCTTTAGTGCTGTCCAAAGGTGTATACAACTTATTCTTGATCGTGCTTCTTACGGACTTAAGGGGTACTCTGCACCAAGTCCCTACCCATCCCATTTCTTTCCATTCTTTACTAAGGCTTTCTTTTATCGTGATCATGTTGCAGTTAAGCACCAGTATTTACTACTACAGTAACGGTGACACTACTGATTGGGGGGCATGCGAGTAGTAGGGTTTCTCGTAATTCCGCTTTGCGTCCCTTGAAAAGTGAGATCTATTGCGGAATTCGTGGAGTCGAATTTGCTTCGATTTGAACAACAGTCAGTGAATATCCAGGAAAATTCGACAAGACGCGTTCACGGAGAAGATGGATATTCACTTTTTGTAAATAAGATGCAAATGAGAGTTTTGCTTCCCTGTCCAACAATCTGTAACTGTTCAGGTGGCATTTTCTAATAAATAACTCCGCAGCGAAGGCCTTCTTCCTTTCATTAGTCGCCATCATAAGAACGGGAATCCGCTCTATAAGGGTCTCACTGGTAACTCAAAGGCATGAACCAAGTAGGACCATCTTATGTGAATGATCTTTGGAAGGCACGCACTGGAAAAAAACTCAAACAATGCATCAACTGATGGCAGGTGTCGGATTCATTATTTACTACTTAGTCAGTGAGATTCAAGCGACCAGATGCAATTCTAGGTATAAAAAACTGTTTTGTTTGTAGTCATTTCTGAGGGCGGAAGAACTCTGCGACATCGTGTTCCGTTTTATAAAAATCGAGCTCGTGATTTGCATTAATTTCGTTGCGGATAACTGATCAGCTCGTTAGCCATAGCTTGCTGTTTCTGATCAGTCTGTCTTCAGACGGTCCAACGCTATTTCCAAGCCTGCTAATCTAATAAAAACGGACTTCTAGTGAACTACCCCCCAAAACAACACGTGATTTGAAATTCTGCCTGAGGACTAATCCTGATTAGTCTAAATTCTATTAATTACTAAACTGAATTGAACAGGGAATGAAGGAAAACCCAGATATCGTGTATGGCTTCCTTGAGAGGAGTTATCATTCCAAGGGCCAGATTACCACGTGACTTGATCAGCTGATCAGCTAGTCGAAGCCCTTCAACTACTGAACTGAACTGGTGGCGCGAGTTCGCGGGATGATTTCCATCTAAGATGACAGCAGTTATCGATTCTTTGACATACGATAAGACCCTGAACTCGCGTCGTGATTGTTCCATTGGTAATATCGATTCCAGCCGTCAAACTATCAGATTTAGACAACAAATTAGTTTCTGACTGTAAATGTTCCGTCATTTTAAAATGCGCCCATCAAAAGTCCTCCGTGGCCTCGTGTGAAATTTAGACGTCCCGTTCCAATTACACTTGCTTGGAACGTTTTAGATGTTGGTTACGAATCAATTTTCGGAAAAAACCGTGACTTTGAATGATGTACCTTCTACAATTTGCGCCGAATGCAACTTTCGACTGTATGCAGTCCAGCCTTGTATGTTCCACCTGAATAGGTAGATCAGCTTAGGGCAGCTTAAAAACGACCTGTGCATGGATGCCAAAATGAATTAGATATTTGGAAAAAACACGAATATGCATTAGGAATCAGTAGATGGGGAAAAGTGAAATACGCTTATCTGTAAGTGCATCGGCGCATTTATTCAAATAGTCATTTTAGATTACCGACAAGTAACGTATGTCCATTAGGCCTTCAAAAAATTCTTGAATCCTGATTCTGCAGGAACTTATTCATTGCTTCGGACTGCGCTTATATTGATAACCTTTCAATGGTACCCTCATCTTGGTAAAGCTACCGCCTAAAGTTTTCACATATTCCCCCACCTTCCTGATACCACAATCTCCCTCTGCCCTTTGGTTACTTAAATTCTGTCACTTTCCAAATGATCATGATGATGATTCACAATCCGAAAGATGATAAAATAATTTGAATCACCCTGCTTTTTTATGATTTTAAGACTGTGGCAAACAAGTCAGATGAAGAAAAGTTAAACTTCCATCTGAAAAGTCCTCACTCTCGAACAGCCAATCGCAGCGTGTGATCACGTGATGTGGTTCCCTTGACTGAACGATGAACGACGCTAAAACTTGTCTGAGTGAAATCTAATCACACTCCTGATTGGCCGCACGTGACCGAACGGTCTGGTGCCTGAAGGTTGCGATTTCGGAACTCGCTTCTGATGTTTCGTAACATGTGTACTTTTAATGATTCACAATAAAAAGAAAGCAGTTGTCCAGTTCTTCTCGCCTTTTAAGTAGAGATTAGGTTCACTTCCAGGGTGAATACAACTCACGCAGAATATGGTCTGTGTATTCAACAATAAGTAACTTTAAATTTATTGATCATTCGATCGGAAGCGTCACACCTTACAGTTTGAATTCATTGATGCTGTTCAACAACATGTTACGCCAATCAAAAAGGCGATTATTCTGCGGTCAGGACGCCTTGAACATCCGGTTGTGAACACTCTGTTCGCTTGCCTGGTTTTCTGTCCAACATTCAGGTCTGATAGACCGCATATGTGCGTTTCGCACGCCAGTAGCTGGCATACAAAGCGAAATGAAAAGTGAAAAAAGCGTGTACCGATTAGCTTTGTTGAAAAGGGATGTGGTTCTTGGGAGCAAAGCTAGTGGAAATGACTTTTGTTGGCGAGTCGAAACGGGGTAGTGTAGAATTTTTGGACACGGCTAGAATTCAAAGACGTGTGGATAGCATTGGACAGGTTTCTTATTCACGTCAGGGACGATAGCGTTGACAACTAATCCTGGTTAACCGTCTGTGGCTGAACGTGACCCCAAAGGTCCCGGCATTGAACCCCTCCACTGGAGTTTATTAAGTTGCCCACTACCGGTGTTTCCCAACATGAATCGACCAGCTGTCCGGTTCTTCTAAGCATTTCATCATACCTTAGTTTGGCTAACAGGACGAAACCTCAGTTAAAGCTTCCTGAATCTCCTCTACCATCAGCGAGAGTAATGTGTTCTCGCGTGCTCTT